ACTACTACAGCTCTTTAGAGTGTTCCAACGTTAAAACAGATGAAGAAATTAAGGAGTGTCTTATACTAGAAAGGCAGAGATTAAATGAAATGAGATATCAAAAAAGCTTTTCTACAAACAAAAAACAACAAATCCACCCACATGCAGTTTACACTAGTCGAATATTTACTTCAAAATTAATTTCGAAGAAATGAGTGATCACAAATTCTTTTTCTGAGACTGCAAATAATTTATCAATATTAAATATATTAAAATATTTTTTAATTATTATTTGCATATCAGAGAGACTCATTACTTATATATCAGAGAGATTTGTTGCTTGCATATTAAAGAAATATAAGAATAATAAATATAGTAAGTATATAGAAAAATAGTGAGTATATAGAGAAAAATAGTAAGTAAAATGTGAGAGTATAGAGAAATGTGAGCGTATATAGTATAGAGAAATGGTAAGAGTATATAGAAAAATAGTGAGAATATATAAAAAAATAATGAGTGCATATATTAATGTATGTCTTAATAGTTATACATATTATTATATCTTAATAACTTAATTAACTTGCATTTAACATAAAATTATGATTAGTTTGTATTTAATATAACAATTATAATTAGCTTTCTTCTTCCTTTTTCTCTCTTTTTTCACCCTTTCAAAAAAAGATATTATTACTCTTAAAATATGATAATGTTTATAATAATATTTACAATAATATTTCTCATCTTGAAAAGTTTATTTTATTTTGCATGTAATATTATATGTAATCTAAATTAAATTAATACAGATTATATTCAGATCGACTTAATTTGAATTGCACTATCTCACTTTAGTATTCCTTTATCTATATATATATTTTTTCAGATCCTAATTAATATGAAGTTTGCGAGACTAGTGATTCTGGAAAAATTATTATTTCATATAAGTTCTTCTGGTATATGAGATAAAATAAGTGATTATATTATATAATATAATTTGCATATAATTTCAGATAAATTCTAGTTAATATACAAGATAATTGATAACTATTTTTGTATTATATATTTTTAATTAAGATACAATTTCAGATAAGTAATTATATTACAAATTTGATATATTGACAAATAGATATGATTTAGATATCAAAAAAATATTATTCCAAAGTTTTTTATATAGTTTTATCTCAAGATTTTTAATATAATATTATTCTAAAGTTTTCAATATAATATTATTTTAAAGTTTTTGATATAATAATATCTCAAATATATAATATTATATAAAAAGTATAATTTAGATATCAAAAAAATTGTTATCATAAAGTTTTTGATATAGTATTATTATTTCAAAGTTTTTGATATAGTATTATTTTAAAGTTTTTGATATAGTAATATCTTGAAATATATAATATTATATAAAAAGTATGATTTAGATATTGGCATAAGCCAGCTAAAGTCTAAAAAAAATGTTATTCCAAGATATAATTACTACAGAAAGATATATAATATATAAATTATACTTTGGGATTATATATAAATAAATATTAAAAAAAGTATTATCAAAAGTATAATTATTACAGAAAGATATATAATATACTTTGGGATATCAGCAAATAGAATAATAGTTAGCACTACATATCTCATTCTCAGACAATATTTGAGTAAAATATAATAGATAATGTTTAGCACTATATATTTTATTTTCAGATAATATTTGAGTAAATTATAATAGATAACATTTGATATTATATATCTCATTCTTAATTAGAATTCAAATATATTATACAAAATTAGATCATGAATATTATTTTAATACTATATATCTCAAACCTAGCTTTCATAATGATATTATTCAAAAAGCTAAGATACTATATGCCAGAAAACATAGTTTTTATATCAGATCCACAAATAATAACACTAATAATTTGAACTAAAATACTTTTCAAAGTTCTAAATATTTCAGATTTTGAATTATCATATAAGTCATAAAGTGTTCTAAATATTCTAAATTCTAATTTAGAAATTTTTTTGCAGATTATTTAGTGCTAAATACTTTAGTCCAAATCATTAAATAATACATGATTAAATATATTATCAGATATATATTTTTTGTTATCCATTTCATATATAACTAACATTTTGAAATTAGTTAACATTGCATGCCTATTCTCAATATATGTCTTAACTTTCCATGTGATCTATAATGTAAATTATGTCTTCCATCTGATTACTAGAATATACAGATTATAAATATAATGTAAAACAAAAAATATATCACTCTCAAGTGTGATCTAAAATATATAAACTAAAAATAACTATATTATTCTTTTTTATCAGAAAAAGCTAAACTTATATTATTATCATTTTCTTTTATTTGTTATAATTATTATACTTTTAGTTTTTTTAATTAAAAAAGAATTATAATTGGAATATTTGCTGTTAATATCAATATTATAAGAAAATTAGAACTATAATTCAACATGTTGAAATTGAAAAGTAATACCAAATATTTTTAGATAGATATTTTAATATCTTATATGATTAAATTATGTACATTTACATATATAATTAAATCAGTAATTGTTAATGATAATGCAAAATTAATAATTATATAATAATAAATAAAAGATTTATTATTAGTATTTTATAAAATGAACATTCAAATCTTAAAATTTAATTAAAGATTGTTAAATATTATATTCACGTGATCACATGAATATTACAAATAAAGATTGATTTTAAGATTAGAATAGGATTAAAATTAGAATGAAGAACAAAGTTATATGTAAAATTGTCTTTCCAGCATTTTTAAGCATCCGTTTTCGTATTTTTTCATTTTTCGTTCGCGCTTTGGATTTGTTTTGCCGGGCTAATTAAAAATTTACGCATCCTTATTTGTTTGTGTTTCGAACTGATCATCGAAGGTACATCACTATCATCACAAAGTTATCACATAACCCGCACTTTAGGCGGTCATTCTTGCAAGATGCTCAATATCGATATTGGTACATTTACTGCAATCATGACTGAACACTCATCGCAGGGACCCCATTGTTTACAATCGCGACAGTTATTACTAGAATCACGAATATTGTCTTGACAATACAAGCATTCACTACAATCATGAGTATTCGAAGTTTTAGATGTTTTATTTAAATAACGGATACTTTGCATTTTCAGTCGTACGTATATCTATACATTTTTCTAAAATAATTATTTCAGCTATTATGAATATTCATCCATTCCGATGCATCATGCCAAGAATCTAATCCACACAACCGGTACTACATCGAAAAAATCAAATAAATTCTGAAGTTTACCAAAAAGATCGTAACGGTAATAGTAATGTCAAAAATAAACAAAAAACAAACCTGAACGGAGGTTGGAACACCAAACAAAAGTTGTTTCCACATACGAAACCCAAATTTTAATAGAATTTTGGATGGTTTAGGATAACATCCAACTTCTTTTGCTAGACTATCGTTGTATCGCCACCAATCGGCTTTAATTGAAAGCTTTTTTTCGGAGTTGTCACCGCTGTCGTCAATTATTGTTTTTACGCGAGAACAGTCTGTTTGCGACTCGAGTGCTTTTTGCATTTCTTCGGGTGTTGGTAATGGAGAGATTTTTCCGGTTATTAGCGCACTGATATATCTTGCCTGTAATTCACTTTTTTGTACTCGATATTAATTATAAAGTTTGCAGTAGATGATAATTAGAAATAATAGTCTCCTATTTACCATGTCATATTGTGAGATCCTGCAGTTTCAAATACGCCCAAAAAAGCGATATTTGGACAATGAGGAGGAAACATCATTTTATAAAGCCATGTAAAATCATTGCTTTGGCAATTATCTTCACCTTCTTGATTAACTCTAATGCTATCGCCATTGATAAAAGGTTCCTTATTTCTGTTTCGACCAATACGAACAGAATTTTCATCAATAAATCCAAACCCCATATCATATCCTGTAGCATATATAACAGTATCAATATTTTCCAGAATTGTATTATCTACCAATACAATGCTCGAGTCTTTTCGTAATTCGCGAATATTTAATTTTACGGAAATAGTTCCTGATAGAAGTCGTTCATAAAATTCTGAATTTATTGCGAATGTTTGTTTTCCCGGAAAAAATTCTTCGGGTTTTTGTTTTGCAAGCCCTCGCTGTTTATGAATTTCAATTTGAGACTTGAGAATTTTCCGCAGTTGATAGAGAGTAAATAGCTTTGGGACGTAATATGTTAAGAAACGAGTGGCAAATTGGTCTAAAGGTCTTCCACGATCTCTTAGACGCGGAAATACGTGTGGAATTGTGCCTTCTCGGGTGCATAAATATACTTGCGAGGCAACTCTTGATAGTTCGACTGCAATTTCTATGCCACTGTTAAAATGTTTACCCATAACGATAAGCGAAACATTTTTTAAAGACATACAAATTTATAAATTAATGAAGATAAAGATTTACCTGCTACCATTCCCGACTACAACTATTCTTTTGTCTTCAAAGCCATGGATACTATTTTGGTTAAACATTATTTTGCAAGTGGCGCACAATATTATAGAAAATCACAACAAATATTAATAACCACTAACTCTTTATAAGCCTGAGAATGCATCTGTTTTCCACCAAACAAATCCTGTCCAAGAAATTCCGGCATTCGTGGTTTATAATTCCGCCCGGAACATACGATAACATAATCAAATTCTTCTTGTTGTTCTTCCTCGTCTTGACTTATATTTGTCAATGATTTGGGTTTGTATTTTATTTGCCAGCGATTATTTTCAGTTAATTTGGATACGCAAATAACAATCGTGTTTAGTTTGATATGTTTGTAGAGGTTGAAGTGTTCCGCGTATGATTCATAGTATCTATTCATAAGCATATAAAGCGATAAGTTAAATTATACTTCCATAATGTTCAAAAATAACATGAGACAAATGCTTACTTATCCATTAATCGATGAGGCAAAAAAGTCGGCCAATCTGATGGCATTGGGAAATCCGAAAATCCCGTCTGCACATAAACAGAGAAACTATTGAGTTTTTCTAAACATTTTTATGAAATGAAATATATGTTCTTCTTCCATACCGTCGGATTACTAGTATTCGTGATGACAGATCTATACACAAAAGGAGAGTTCGTTTTGTCGTTATCGTCTATTGGAACGTATCGCCATAATCCACCAATAGATGAACTCTGTTCGAAACAAGTAACCTCAAATTCACTATTTACGCAATGTTTTAAGGCTACTAATCCTGTTGCACCTTGATTTATGAATAGTAAATATATTAGAAATTATCTTACTCATTATCTTTAACTCTTAATCTATGAAATCCAAATTACCAGCTCCAATTATAGCAACTTTGAATTTTCCCATTTCTAACGCTAATTTCAATTGATTGTTACCATTACGATTCATTGTTTTGTTATATAGCACTAAAGATCATCAAGTATGGTATCGTATATGGAATTTTACCAATTAACAATGAAAAACTAAGAAAAGAAACACTGTATGTACGTACGATGATATTATCGTACGTATATGGAATTTTACCACTTAGCAATGAAAGAATAAGAAAAGAAATACTGTAAGTACGATGATATGTATCTGTATAATCATTAAAGAAATACTGTACGTACGATGATATGATTGTATGCATCTGTATAATCATTAAAGAATACATGTCGGATATACTGTCTTGATTGGTTAAACTGTTTTCTAAGTCCTTATATAGATATTTTTCATTTTCTATTGGTGTTTATTAAATAGGAGAGGATGGGAAGCGCGAGCGCATTTTATCCGAACTCGTTGAGATTTAATAATTTTCGGTGTCGGTATACTGTAGGGATTCTGCCATGTCTAAAGCCTGGTCCATCTGATAAAACACAAACCAATAAGGATGCGTAAATTTTTGATCACCTCGGCAAAACAAATGAAAAATAACGGAAAACAAATGCTTAAATCTATCTTTGTATACTAATAAAAAATGCCGGGGAGGCAATTTTATTATAATCTTGATCACAACTCTGACCCTAACCCTAAGCTTAAAATCAATCTTTAATTATATATTAATGTATCACATGATGGACCAGGCTTTAGACGTTCCCCCATTTTAGGGGATCGGTTAAAATGTGGTCCATTCGATAATCTGTCCGAAGAATAAACCAATGAGGATGCAAATTTTTAATCAACCCGGCAAACCAAATTTGAAGCAAAGACAAAAATGAAAACGGGTACTTAAATCTATCTTGGAGCACTAACTAAAAATGCCGGGAAGGCAATTTTATAGATAACCGTGATTTCCTTCCCAACCCCAACCCTAACGTTAAAATTACCTTTTAATATTTTTAATATATATATCACGTGATTGACTACGCTTTAACCGCTCTCCATTTATTTTAATATTGTATTGTAGATTCTGTAATTAGGTACAGTACAGCACTCGGCAATACAGTACGATGTACTCTTAAAAAGGATCGGCTAAAAATAAAATACCCGTGATTCACATTATTTTCTGTATATGAAGCACGCTCTTTGATCGAATGCAAACAAAAAATAAAAATATTACAAGTGTGGGGATGCAGAGTCGAGCGTAGCAAACGTGTAAGTTTACTCTCCATCTCGTTATCTATCACATCCGTTTTCATCCATTCAAACGTTTATCCACCTACTTGAGGGAACGTTTGGTCTACTACTTGCGACGTTGACTAACTTGTGCTTTTTTCTTCCTCCAAGTTCTCGCCCGTGAAATTTGTTTCCTAAAGTACACAAAGAGGGTATTACTTAAATTACTTTTATGTGGCTAGCATTATAAGCTAATTATATTTCCCCCTAGAAGTTGATAATTTGAAACTGTCCGATCTTCTGCGAAGTGAGAACGTACTGTCTATTATTTTTATATATCCGAATATATCCTGTCACTTTGGTACTTTTTTACGATGAATTGAATTACAGATTCAATGGAACAAGCTTTTGTGCAAACATCATATAAAGATCACTATATCTTTGAAAAACACATTGATGATCGTGCCTATTTTCGGTAAATTTCATTATGTTTTTTTTGACGAACTTGCTAAAAAATTAGATTTAAAATATTGATTCCTGCTAGACAAAGACAAGAAAATAGATGATAAAAGAAAGAAGATTGAACTAATAAACAAAAATTTTTCTGGGAAAATATGGAGAAAACGAAACCAATGAAGAAACAAGTGGTATTATTCATAGCAAGGAAAGCAGCGAACAAACAATAGGAGGATGCACAGCATGATTTTTATAATTTGCCATATAGTTCTGTTCCAGGTTTACAGGATTGGGAATTTTAGGCTTCTTAATCAGCTCGCTAAAAAAAATCATTGTTTTATATCAAGAACTCTAGCTATGTGATTATGACTTGATTGTTATATTACACACCCTACAATAAATTCCTGGAAATTCAAAAAAAAGCATAGTAAAACACGATAAATATAGATTTTTAAATTAATTTTCAAGACTATTTCTAAAAGTTGGTTACGCGTACTTTGTATAACCAATTTTACAACCAGAGATATTTTTAAAAAATCTACTAAAATAATAATTTTATTTTAGAGAGAAAATTTTAATTTTTACTAAATTTTTTTTGGATTTCAGCAATTTATTGTAGAGCTGTATAATAACTTCCAAAAGTAATGCATAACTTGCAAAATTTACTAACAAAACATAATAAAATATAAATTTTTCTCTTTATATGAAAGTTTTCAATTTTATTAAATAAAATTTTTTATTTTTATACAAAAATATAAACAATTTATAGTTTAACATATATTTTTTTCAGATTTTTATATTTAATTCGAGAAAGTTTTTCTAATTATAAAATAAGTTAATTAATTTTTTATATGTTTAATTATTAATAATCAATTATTTACTTAAATATAAAAAATTTGAAAATATATATTAAATATAAATTATTGTATAAAAAAATTCTAATTAATAAAATTGAAAACTTTTATATAAAATGAAAAACCTGTATTTTATTATAAATTTTAAAAATAATCAAAAGTAATATTTTATTTTTATAAGTTATTGTATATTTTATTGTTATATTATTATATTATATTGTTATATTATTATTTATTTTTAATTATTTATTAAACTAATTAAAAAATATAATTTTAAATAATAATACAAATATTAAAATTAAGAAATAAAAATTTTATAAATAAAATTAAATAATTATAAATTTTAAATATAAAATTACATAATTATTTTGTAAAATTATTTTATTAAATAATTATATTATATTTAATAGCTAACAAAATTATATAAAAAGTAGTAAAAATTAGAATTTTATTATATAAAAGATTTATTTTTATATTAAATTAAAAATTATAATTTATATTTTAACTTATATATATAGTAACAATCAAAAATAATATAATATTATCAAAATTTATTAATTAAATATAGTAAAATATAAGTTTTTCTATTTATATAAAAGTTTTTAATTTTATTAATAAATATTTTTTATTTTTATATTATAATTAAAATAATATTATATATTTTAACATATATTTTTTCAGATTTTTTAGATTTAATTTGATTAAATTATTCTAATTATATATAAAGTTAATTATTTATTTATAATTAAAATATATAAAAAATAATTAATTTTATATGTAATTAGAATAATTTGAACAGATTAAATCTAAAAATCTGAAAAAAATATATATTAAAATATGTAAAAATAAAAATTATTTATTAGTAAAATTAAAAACTTTTATATAAAAAACTTATATTTTACTATATTTAATTAATAAATTATAATATTGTTGTATTATTTTTGTTTGTCACTATATTTATAATAAATTATTAAAAATTTAAAAAAAATATAATAAATATAATAAAAAAAATTTTTTTATAATAAAGTATTTGTTTTTATTAATAAATATTTTTTATTTTTATATTAAAATAAAAATAAAATTATATATTTTAATATATATTTTTTAATATAATCTGATAAAATTATTCTAATTGTATATAAAGTTAATTATTTATTATATGTTTTAATTATAAAAAAAATAATTAATTTTATATATAATTAGAATAACTTTTAATTTTTTTAGATTTAATTTAATAAGCTATTCTAATTATATATAAAATTAATTATTTATTATATAAAAAAATAATTAACTTTATATACAATTAGAATAGTTTAATCAGATTAAATTTAAAAAATCTGAAAAAAATATATGTTAAAATATATAAATTTTGATATTGTTATATTATTTCTAATTGTTACTGTATAAGATAGAATATTTATTTTAATATTTATTAAAAATATTTTAATAAAAAATAATATTAATATTTAGTTTGCAAAAATTAAACTATAATATCTAAACTTATTAATATATTATTTAATTTTCTAAGAAATATAATAAATTTTTTTAATTATATTTATAAATTAATTTATATTTATTTTTAAATAAATTAGTTAATTGAATTTATAAAATTTAATAAATTAATAAATTTAAATTTTATATATTATATTATAAAAATATTTTTAATTTTTTTATAATTCAATTAATTTGATTTGAATTTAACAAAGATTATTTATTTATTAATTTTTTGTTTAAATAATAAAAAATATATAAGTAAAATAATTTATTTAACAATAATAAAATTTTAAAAATATTGTTATATATTTTTCACTAATCATGTAATTAGCTAATAAATATGAACAAGAGTTAAAGAGATAATTAGATAAATATAAAAATAATATTAAAATAATATTCAAGTTCTATATTAATTTCTATTGAAATTATTATAGTTCTAAAAGGAAAAAAATAAAGTAATAAAGTTTCAATTAGATATAGTATTTTAATTAACTATACTAATTAATTAATTTATAAATTATTTAATTAAAGTGATAAACAAATTCTTTATACAAATATAAATATGTTCTAGAGCTAACAAAATAATAAAAATAATGAAAACTCTTTCATTTTTTTTCTTACAAGAAAAAGATTATGGTATTTTTAGTTAAGAAATTTCAAATAATTTGATTATAATAAAAATATCAAAAAAGACTAATTTATAACAAAATATCAATTCAATAATTTAATATCAACATTTTGATTAGTTCAATATGGTCTTAAAGCTACTTATTCACAAGATTTGAAGTAGTGTTCTTATGAACTGAACCAAACCGGATTTTTGTCTGAGTTCGAGTTCAGTTCGAAATTCGAACTGAACTCGAACCAGACTTTGGCTTGAGTTCAAGAAAGGTTCGAAGTTCGAACTGAACTTGAACTGAACCATTA